CGAACTATTCCGAAAATATTTCAAAAATTAATAATATTAATTATTAACTAATTATTAATTGGTTTTTAACTAAAAATAACCTCAGATTCAGATTCTCTACACTCGATTACCGTTTGGTGAAACTTTACTCGAACATATAATAATACTAATTATTAAATGATTATTAACTAATTATTAACTAGTTAATTTTAATAAACTAACCTCAGATTCAAGCTCCCCACCCTCGATTACCCCCCCCGCCCCCAGTCAAAGTTTTCCGGAAGTATCTGAAAAATTAAATTTCAATGTTTTTTTGACCCTGCGGACAGACAAGCAAGCAAGCAAGCAAACAATTTATTCTTACTGGACTCTTCTCTTACGAGAAAGAGAATATATATATATATATTCGATCTTTTTTTTAATGTATAAAGACTGACTTTCTCAGTACTCACTAGCTTGTCGGTGTAAAATTCGGCTAATACTTTCTGAATAATCTTTTATTTTCTCATATTTTTATAAAATCAGTTATATTTCTCTGTTTTTCGATAAAATATAGGTAAAATAGGAAAAGCAGTCGAAATATAGGACAAATTAGAGGATTCGTCAAAAATATAGGATTTATAGGAAAAATAGGTCGAATCGCAGCCCAGTAAAATATAACAATTGTATTTTCAAGTAAATGTTTTATAAATAGTTGTCACTTTTAGAGGTCTGAAAAAGTGTAACAATTTGTTGAAATAATATGATTATTGAGGGGCTATGAAATTAGTAATGATGCTTTCCTATACTGATAGGTGTAAGTGTGGATGTGATAAACAAAAAATATTCACCCACATCCACCTTCAAGACGATTTGGTATGTTTAAGTTTGCTTTTAAAAGAAACAATCAATAGAAAGCGAAATATACAGAATTATTACTTTTTACATCTTTATTACAAACGAATGATCTCACAAAAAAATCGATAGAATAAAAAATTGATTCTAGAGATGAACAATTACAACATTTGTTCTACATTAAATTTAATAGCAAACAGTGAATACAATGTTCTAAGCTAATTTGAATACTTCAATGTCAGATGTAGTGAAGTTCTTAGCTCCTGTGAATGTATTGTTACCTTCACCTGTTGTATCATAATACGCAGTAGGAAAATTAGTGTAGCTAGAATTGTTGTTGTTACTACTATCAGATATATAAATGTCGCTGCCGTTGCCGAATGTAGGTCCAGACCCACTATCATCATAAATGGCATCTATTCCATGAAAAAAACTCTTGTTATCATATTTCGTAGGTGGAATATCGTGAGGATTTGTTAATGTGAACAAAAATGCTGCACTATCATTCTGATACTTTTGAGATGAAGCCCATGAAACACTTGTATAACCTCCAAATATATAGTTATTGCTTGATTGAATAATAGTCATTGTTGGTCCTTTATTGTCACAATGTGAATGAAATGCATTAGCACTAAATCCATCACGAGTTGCTTTGTATATTAGTTCCCATTTTTGATCGATCTTACAGCAAAACTTATTAAGTTTTGTAGCATGCTCCAGTCGAAGTAATGTTCCATTTGGAAAAATTTTCTCAATAACCAAGCGCTCTTCTCGTTGACGTTTTCGTTCGGGTGCTGTTAATATATAAATCAGTTTGTGTATACAAAAATATTCTGCTTCTAGAATAAGACGTTGACGAAGTGATTCATTAGTCATTATGTCACTGGGTATGGTATCCGTTCTGAAATATTCCAGAATATGTTCAAATAACTTTCCATTACGATCAATGAAGATACTGTTATCATTTGGATCTCGTTCAAGTTCCCATCGTCCTGAGAAGAGTGCAGCGAAGAAAGTATTTTTCTCACGTATTAATGTATCAACACTTGTAGCATATTTTACACTACCAACATCAAGTATAATTTTGCCTTTAATTGATGTTGTTGATAATTTGAGTTTGATATCTTTCCATTCTTTTTCTTCGTCAGATACATTCGCTAGTTTGTGCTCTAATTCAGCATTAATTTTTTTTGCTTGATCATACAACTTCTCCGTGGTTCGAATATAATCACTGCATTCATTCAATTTTTTAATATAATCTTCATGAACTTTTTCAAAATGAGTTCTTAATTGTTTTGGGTTGTCTTGAATTGTATGTAAGTTTGATTCCATTTGCAAGATTTTCTCATATGAAGATATCGTGTTTGTTGAATGTATTTATTGTATGCTATTGACAGTCAATTGCAACGTTGCTTGTAATGTTAACTGCTTTGTTTTCGTTTCTGAAAGCAAATAACACAGTAGTCAATACCTTATTATAACAGAAATGTTGATGTTTATCCTTTATTCTATCATATACTCAAGGAAAGTGAATTCGAAGTGGCTGACCGACTGAGTGACTTATAATACGTTAGCATAGCTATATATAAATGCATGCCAAGCGAACGAAGAGAGAGAAAGAAAGGAAGAGATAAATGACGGACGGATCCGAATCCGTCACACACCCCACCACCATGATGAGAGCGTTCCTGCACGAAAAAATACGATAGCACGCACAAAAAGAGACAACAAAAATGCTTGGTTAACAAAAAAAAACAACGTTAAAAGCGTGACTGATATATATAAATAAAAGTTAAATACGGTGTTAATGATAAATATATTATATTGAAGGTAAGTAGTATACCATTGTTTAAAATTGAGGATAATCGCTCATTGTAGTTTGTATCAGCTTGTCATGATTGAAGCGAAGAATAAAATGATGAAGATGCAGAATACCGAAGCAACTCGAGAAAAAGTCACATGAAACGTACAGATGTTAAAAGAAAATGTGCGTGGGGATGATGTAGTCAGCCCTTAATACGTTTACCAATGTTCTGTAACATTACCATGCAACACGTACCGCCTACTTCAGTACTATAGTTATTTGATAATGCCATGTCACTTAACTCTCATTTCTTCATCAATTCGTTACCTGAATCTAAAGTTTTACTGTCTACCGTTTCTAATGTAACCTTAGGATTAGCGACCGTTTGTTTGACTTGATATGGTAAAAAAGACGAACAAAGTACTGAATGGAGGAGAAATACGGAACGATACAGCGAAATACGTACAAATATTATAAGGTAAATGCGTCGGCCGAAATCTAGTCGCTCTTCGTACGGTGCTGATCTTCAATCACACTATTGTACCTCTCAACAGTGCCACTATATATGGATTATCTCGTCCAGCTCCATCTCTCGAACTTAGTCATTACTTCTGTATTAGTCATAAAAAATAATAGTCACATTGATGAAGATTGAAAGGATTGATTAGAACAATTTTTTAAACAATCAGACAATCGATTCATACGTTTTATGGTAACAGACGAGCAGAAGAGAAGAAAAAAATAAATATAATGACCTACCCGTTTCCAATGTAAAATTCAAATCGTAAACATAAGGTCAAATAGATGGAAAAGATAGGAGAACGGTCACAAGGTCAAATGAAGAAAAGAGATAGGTGAAGATTATACAATTAAGTTATAGAAGGGGTCAAAAAGAAAGTATTACTACTAGAAAAATCTAAAGTAAATCTATTACAATAAATCATACTCCATGAGCTAACTTCCTATACCCACACGCTACGTGAGAGTTTACCATAGGAAAACAAAGGCCGCAAGAAAAAAAATGTAATCAACCTATATGTGCGTGAGGGTGTGGGTAGGTGCAGATAATATTTTTATTTTACTCTCATCCGTCGCCCACACACACCCTTATTGAACATTTTCTTTTTCTTTCGCATATCGGTGTTTAAATGCATCTACATGACACGATGATCATCTTGAATTTACTTTACGTTATTATATTATTTAATACAATAATGGCAACTGTTGACAAAGAAGTGCAAGTCAATTTTTATCTTTTAACAAATATAATACAAGATTTAGTATACTCCTTGTTCACTTTTCTTATTTATGTTCTAAGTATTACTATTATATTTGACGTTCGATTTATTCTTTTCATAATAGATTCTTTAAGTGAATCAGTAAATTGAAATAAAGCCAACATTACTGATAATATTGATACGTCAGCAAATATATAAGCTATTCGAAAATGATATTTTGGTGGAGCAGTGAAAAATGATATTCCAATGAATAATGCATAAGGAAAACAAAGTATGACTAAGATTGTTATAATTATGACTGTACGTTGAACCATTTTTAATTCTCTTTGTGCACGAAATAGAGCATTTACAGGTGTAACACGTTTTCCCATTTCACGAACATATCGAACTAATTTAAAATAAATCAACATAATCATCAGAACAGGAATGATATAAGCACAATGTGTAACGTAAATTATAGACAAAGAAAATTGAAAAGGTAATTGACAAATTTGATTGTCAATATTATAAGTAATTTCATTAGTAAATACAAATTCAAATGGATATATAAAACTAAATATCCATATTAAACAAATAAATAAAATTTGAATTTTTGCTGATTGCCAAAGTAAATATGAGGGATAAATAATAGTTATATATCTATATATAGCTTGTAATAAAAATGAAAAATTGAATAGAGCACATGAAACATAAGCAGTATAAGCTCGAAAAATACACAATGAATCTTGATAATGAATCTGTTTTAAATCATTTTCAAGTGTAAATATACACATACTCAGTATACTACATCCAGCTAGAAGTGCAATGAAACATGTGTTACCAATTAACATCAACGGAATCGTATGACATGTTTTATCAAGAATAATAATAAATAAATAAATAATAGAAAGTATAATAACGAAAATAATACATATAATCGCTAGAATATCAAGCGGAATAAACCATGATTCAATGTTAGTTGTCGATGCATTATACATAATTTTTTCCTGAAAAAAAAACAATTAAGAGACGCATATAAAATAAGCAGATGCTCACATTTTGTTTATTAAATAAATGATATGTAAGATGTGGAATAGATGATAATTATAATCACGACACTAATCCAAGTATTTTTTTTTTGTTCTTTTGGTCACGTCGTAGAGACTTAGATGAGGGGAGTTCAATAATTGGAATCAGTTTATTCAGAAGCGAGAACGACAGTACAAGATAAAAAGATAAGAGGAAAGGAAGAGAGAAGAACACATATTTATATATGTGACGTAAGGATAAAACTATGTGAACAAAGAGAAGCAAATGTCTCATAGAGGCCAGTGAGTTGAAATCATTGCAAATGACACTACACGATATTTTCTCCCTATAAGTTTCTTCGATTAAATGACACATTTGTTTTCGTATACGATTCAATTGACAGGAAAAATTTTTCTGTATGTTTCTGTAGTTGATTAATCGAGAAATAAAAATCTCCAGAATGTGATCATTGTCGTGTATGACGATCCAAGTCATAAATTTAGAGCTATTCTGAATTCATGTTTGAAAAACAATACTGCTGGTGAGAAGTTTGTTGGTAAGTGTAGTGTTGATTTATGTTAAAAAAGGAATTTATTTAACACATTTAAAAGATTTCCCTCATTAAATGGGTCCTTTTGCTCATGCCGTTTCGAATGAGAATAACCTGGTACAGTTCTTATATAGCGAATATCATGATACCCGTAAAAACTAGCAAAATCGTCAGAGATAAACTATATTTCACTGTCAAAAACAATCTCTTTGCATCATCCATAACGAATAAATAAAGGTGCTAAAACGTTAATGGTTGATGAAATGAAAATAATGATTTATGAGTTTATTCACGAAGTCGATATAAACACATTAATATAGCGTTTGGGAAATATTTTATTACTGTAATGGAGCCTTCATCGGTTGTTTGAAGTTTTCCACATAGGATTGACACTGCTGTGTTAATTGTCAACATTACTCAGTTTTTGTTCTACCCCATACCAATATAAGAGGAATGTAAATGATCAACAAATTTGTTTCTAAAATCTGAAGGCACGATTTAAATAGATCAATATAGTGTTTCTTCTATGAGTACTTTGTTTATTTGGTACATCATTATTCAAGAATTGCTCATCTGTCCTTCTCAACTAATTTGTATCGTATATTCTATTAATTTCTTTGCAAGTAAGATCTATGTTCTTCTATTCACTAATCACAAATAAGCGGCTTCCCATAGAATATAAAAAATACAATCAGAAATAAAATTTGACGTGCTTCAAATCGCTGCTGTTATAAAAAGAAAGATTAGAGAACTGGTATAATCGACGATGATGAATGACATGGTAAAAATAATGAAACAAACATGCTCGGTTTTTTTCTACGTAGGAAGTAAGAGAACGAGCGATGCATATATCATTGAAAAGGCGAAGAAAAACGTCTCAGTCACATAGTTTTTTCATTTTTTTTCATGTCTGCAACGCTGTTTGACGTACTGCCTGTCGAGTTATTTCACGGCATATTCGTTTATCTTTCGACAAGTGATATTCTACGAGCGTTTTCAAACCTCAGTGATTATGTAGATGCAGTGCTGTTCGATTATAATCGTTATATACTTCAGTTTCATACTATTCCGCGAAATAACTTTAATATTATCTGTCGTCTGGTTCAACAACATAGGATCGCTGCTTTAAGAATTTTCGACGCAGAAGTTCTTCCAGGTTTATCGAAACTTTTCTTTTCTCATTTCAAACCTGACCAGTTCACTCATCTTCAATCATTAGATATAGAATGCATTAATGATGATGTAATCGATCAAGTTGTCCACTTGTCCCAAATGAGACATTTAATATCATTAGCTTTACCGAAGCGCTTTACTCGTTTTCCTTCGTTCGCACGCACCGTTGAATTATTATTACCTCAGTTGAGTCGATTAACAACATCCTATTGTCAATTTACAGATCCGTTACCCAATCTTCGCTGTTTGAAAGTAAATCAATGTGATGAATCCCAATTACAACATCTTTTCTCTTCGGTACCTAATCTTCGATCACTCAGTATCGAACTTATCAAGAGTTCCAATGCATTGTGGCCAGATACAATGCGCCAATTGATTCATTTAAAACGGTTTCAAATTAAAAATTATAGTGAGTGCAAAGAATACAGAATAACGAAAACGTCTTACGTATTCTCTTTCATTAAAACTTTAAAAAATGGGTGAAAGTACACCTTTAATTCTTTGTTACTAAGCGAATATGACTCGACATCTTCAAGTATTTAGTTCCCTTCGTCAGAGAAAAATAGAGCTCCATGAGTGAAAATCAGGAGAAAGTCTACATCGTCTCCCTCAAGAACTATTATGCACATATGATTAATTGTATGTAATATGTCATTCTTTTGTTCACTTAATAGATTTGATGACAATCGACCGTATTGAATCCATTGTTACTATGATACCAAGTCTAAAACATCTTGAACTCGAGTTGGGAATACTTGTGGATTTAAAGAATGAATATCGATGGGATACATTTGTCTCCAATCTTGAAAAATTCGACTTTCGTTGTTATCTTTCTCCTCTTCACTTTCTCATTTGGAATCAAACCGAAATACTTGCGCGTTATAAAACACCATTGTGGCTCGAACATAAACAGTGGTTTGTCGCTTGTGATAGCAGTCAACAGACGCCATTGCTTTACACAGTACCTCATTTCGCACCGAAAAATATGAATTGGCCTTTTATTGGTCCCTCTATTGCATGCACATCTTCTAGTGTCTCTCTTCAACAACATAGCAGCTGTTTAATATGGTCACTAAGTATTAGGCTCGATGATTTGTTTCTGCCAAATATTACATCACTGGAACTAGTAAAGGGAAACCATTTTAATACAAACATACTGTTATCGTTAGCTGACCTTACTCAACATTTGCCACACTTGAATACAATGTCATTGGACGAATCATTGTTAATCTACTTCCCACCGAAGCTCGTTTTGAATCAGATTCAAACTTTAATAATCCGTGATGAAGGAGAAAATCAAAGCTCTTCATTTGCCGTTGATACACCGTATCTATCTCGTGCTTTTCCTCGATTGGAAAAATTGAATATTTCAGTCAATTCTTCGGAAGATTTGTTCTATTTGTTAGATACATTGAAATATTTATCAGTCGCAACATTCCGATGTCGATTTGATTCACCTATATTTTCTGATACAATACAAAACGAAACGTTATCACGTTATTGGCTCATTTGTGGAAGTCAACAATTATGGATGAATCGTTCTTTCACAAGTCGCATCAACAAAAAAAGCGTTCATGTTTGGGTAGGTTTCCTTTTTTACGAAGATAATGTCATCATGTGAGAGTCACATATATTAAATATTATTTTTTTTTGTGTAAATTTTAGCTGTATGCTGGTGAATACGAACTCAATGTGAAACATCGTCAACTGTTTACATTAATGTGGTTTCTACGAATTATTTTTCCTCATATTGTGAAACTTCTTTGCTTCCTATTTCGCTTGTTAGCTAACAATTAGATTTTAATAATTAATTATTACTTTTATTAAGCTATCCTTAAAAATATATATTCATGATGAGTGTGGGTAATGATGTGGTGTTTGTACAATATTGTTTATCCCTTACACTCTCAAGCTGATGTTAATAATTTGTTTTTTTATTGCGTCGGAGGGTAAACTTATATATACACTCTAGCCATAGGTAAAGAAAACATAGTATGTTTCGATTTCTGCCGTAGAGAACGTCGATTAGATCTCATGTTTAAATCATACACACCTGATTTGAAAATCGAGCCAGTTTTTGATGACCCGGCCTAATAATAACTAAAAAAATTTGTTCATATAAATTACATTAAGAATTTTTCTCTAAACATAAGACTTTAGAAATGGTGATATATTTTGTTCTAATATTATATAGTTTTGAATCAACAGATTGTTTTGACAATCTTTGAAACTATTGAGCTCGATGTTTTGTTGTTCTTGAAACTTGAAGAATTCATATTTGATGATTGTGTTGTTGCTAATAATTTATATTTCTGTGAGTGATTCAATGTGAGACATGTTTTATCTCAATAGAATATTATAATAAGCTATTAATTCTCAAGTAATCGATCAATTAGTATTGTGGTCTATTATTTAAATTATCATTAAAATAAGTCAAATTATTTATTTAATTAATATATTATTCAAATAAAATTCATTTATTTTTATTTAAATGAGGAGACAAAGAAAAATACAAATAAAATAAATCTTAGAATGTACGTTCTACACTTATTGGTTCTATTATATCAGTCAATTATAACTCAAGAATATATATATATTGTTCCAGTTACAAAGGATGTCCATATGAATTAATAGAAAAGTTAATCTCAAAGATCGAATCGGATCAGGTTATCTCTTTCAAGATTTAACATATACTAAATAATACTAGTAAAATATGTAACATTCCATCAGTATTTTATTCAAAAGCATCCAGATATATCTTATTACTCGTATATAACTCTGAGAGTAATTTAATTTTTTTCCAGTTCCATTCGATTTCCATAATACTAAATGAATTTGATTTAATTAAATTTCGAATAGATTCAGTCTAAACAAATTCAAAAATAATTAATTTCAATTTAATTCATAGTATGAAAATCAAATGAAACTCGAAAAAAATTAAATTTCTGTCAGAATCACATAAGAATAAATTACTGTATTACAAGACTAATCATATATATGTATTATTTAGCAAATAAAAATAAATTTAGATCACAGATTTTCCATTTATTTTTATATAATATAGAAAAAAATGATTAAAATATAAATTTCCTTTTCATTATTTTTTATTTAAAAAAAAATAAGCTATTAATATTATAAATATATATATACATAATTATTTTAGCAATTAAAACTTCGTTTTGATTTATAAACTAAAATAATTTTTTCATTTTCTTGCTCAATTGTGTGTAAATTAACAATTAAAAATACATCCATATATGTTTTCTTTTGTGGAAGAATCGTTTCTATGTTAATTTCCATTGCGTTATTATTTGTTTGTTTCTATGTATCTTGAAAACTAAGTGTAAAACTCGATTACAAAATAGCTGACAACGTCAAACAAATATTACTAATTGTTAGAATCAGAAAAAAACACGTTACTAATATCTATAGGAGAAAATAAAAAAAAGTAATAGATGAAAATATCGACGAGAAAAAAAAAGTAAGTCGGTTATTAAAGAGCATTTTTTGAGTTATGCCTTGATGTTCATCGTGGAAGACAAAAAGATTTCAACGTTTAAATAATTAATAATGACTACAAATAATCAATTCTATTTGAACACCTAAAAAAACGATTACTAATTATTTTGATCTTAGTTTTGATGTGCCTTTAAATGAAGAATTTTGACGATATTTATGAAAATAATATATGCAGTTGAAGTGAAATAATTTAAAATAAAAGTATCCAAAATATATAAACTATAAAATTAAATCTTTTTTTTGTAAAATAAAACTATGAGATCATACTATAAGGTTTATTAACAAATAAATTAATATTCGAAGATAAGAAAATGGAGAATCTATAATAGAAACCTTTTTTCTGACTAAAAGCATACTGAAGAGGAAAACGGATGGTTTTTGAAGAATTCATTTATCTTTTAAAAAAGGTTTTCCTTACCGACAATGTGTTTTCTATGATATATATCATATTTTTCTGTTTATAGAAGTTCTCTCTTCTTGTAAAAAATGAGTTTTCCTAAAAGTTTCCAAATTATTATTTTTACTAATTTCCCTACTGGAGAGAGGCATGTATTTTTTTCGATAAATTTTCATTAGATTTCTTCAAAATCTTCATTGTCTTTTTGTTGAACTAACATCTCATTTTTTATTTAATTTATGATAAAAATGTACTTTTTAGTTTTTATTTTACTAATTTACCTTGGGAGTGAGAATGTAGGGATAGAATAAAGTCAATATATCATCCACATTCATCCTTAGATCGTTAACCATACATAAATTTTGTTTCAAATAAACAAATATTATTCTTTTTTTTTAACTATTATAAATAATGTATATGAACATGTTTCTTTTCTTTCAATCTAGTTGCCATAACAGATTTTTTACTTAATGAACACATCGTATACATCAACATTGTTAACAATACATTTAATTTAGTTTGTTTTAGCAACCACAAAGTTATTGTCATAATATTTCACTAAGTATAGGTAAGAGCACTATTCCAAATTATTTTCTTATCTACTTTTTTTTATATAGAAGACAGTGTTTTCTCTTTTCTTTCATTTCATTTTCTTATAAACAGTTTTTTTAGTGTGTTTTCTTCTCATAGAATTGTATTTGATAGTTAAATTAGTTAGTATTATTATCTTTGTATTATACTATTTTATTTCTTGTTAAGTGCATTTGTGTTGCGGATAAGTTTCCTTTGCTTCTCCTAAATAGAAAAAATTGAGCACTTGATTAAATACATTTATTTTTAGTGTTTATAATAAATTCGTATTTAATACAAATAAAAGAGCTTAAGAACGATCACTTAATTCTCAGATATTACATTTCTATTTCTCTGTTTACCATCAGAAATAAAAATTTTCTTTTTTTTATTGGACATCGTTATTGATTTATTCGGAAGCGTTGAGAAAAGAATTAAAGTAGAGATTTGATAATTAAGTAATAAGCAGATCACTTGATATTAAAGTTGCCAGCACTTTTAAGCATTGAAATAATCGAGTATCCTATTTTACAATACGCGAAGAAGAAAAAAGAAAAGAGAAAAAAAAAATAGAAATAAAGTCATTACATAATTAGCTAAGATAAATATTGTTTAATTTTTATTTTTAATAAGAATAAAAATATTATTGGTGAACAAAACGAATCTTTTAAAGATCGATGAAACGTTTCATGAACTAAGAAAAATAGCTTTTTTTATAATATTTGTTCGATAAATTACATTGAAGAATAGTGAGAGCTGTGTGATTGAAAATTTGATTTCAGAAAATTAGACGGTACATTAAGATTTTTTTTATAACGAATCCAAACAAAGCAATATTTTATTCATACTAGACTAGTAAAAATATTTGTCTTTATGGAAAAATGGAGTTCGAAAGATGGAGGTCTCTTAAACGTTTAGTGTTAATGTTGTAGTAAAAAGATTCCTTTATTTAATGATTTCTTTTTCAATTATTTGTAGAATATATGCTACTGAAGCATAGAATTAAACTCATTCGATTGAATAAAATATTTCTTTTTTTTTGCTGATAGATATATTATACCTGTTTAATTACTTACTTCTATACAAAACAACAGTCGCTTTTTTAAATAGAAAATTTATTCATTGATTCGAGAATCTTGTTTTTTCCATTAGACTCATTTTTATTAAATAAAATATTTTTACTCGGTTTAGATAAATATAGTTCAGTATATTTATCATTATTATGAGTAACTGTTTAGTTTTTTATGTTATTTCATTGAAAATAACGAAACTACACATGAATAACTCATGGAACTAATCTTTTTTTTAATCCATTTTACTTTTTATTTTAGAAAAGAAACAATTTTATCTTCCAAAAAAAAAAAGAAGACTTTCAGTTGATTGATTCTTTGTCTATAATAAGCATTTAATTAGGTAAGAAATATTTAAATTTATATTGTAATATATATATATATATATATCTGATATTACAATTATGGTAAGACATACTACTGTATCAGAAACTATCCTATCTGATTACGAAGGATAATAAAAGGAATTAGATTAGGAATATTATCCATTTATCCAATCCGATTCCATGAAAAAAGCATAGATGAGAAAACGATAAGATATGGATTATGAAAGATGTAAAACTAAGTAAAATATATACATAGTTTTTTGACTAGCCTTTCTATATTTAACTAATTATAGAAGAGTTTATCAAGATATTTAGATATTTCTAATTTATAAATGTTTCTAGAATATTATTCAAGCTAACATGGGTGACGTAGGAACAATACAACTCCCATCGCATAATCAACAACAAATTGTATCAAAACGTGATAGTTATTGGGTTCCTGTAACACATAATCGATTGTAAGTATTATATTTCTCTTACTAACAAATGATTTTCAACAGTACTTAACTAACTATTTATTTTTATAAGTACGCGCATGAGAACTTTGATTGGTATCTGTGCAGTAATTGGTGCAGTTATCTTTGTCTCCGCACTACTTGTACCCACAATTCTTACCAATAACAAATCAACATCCTTCACTACTACTACCACTACTACAACCACAACCACTCAAACTACATCAACTTCAACAACAACCTCCACAACCTCGACTTCGACAACAACATCAACAACAACATCCACCACATCAACGTCTACTACAACATCAACCTCTTCAACGTCAACTTCAACAACAACAACCTTAACTTCTACGACTTCAACATCCACAACTTCGACTTCAACAACAACATCCACCACATCAACAACAACATCAACCTCCACAACATCAACTTCAACGACAACAACCTCATCCTCTACAACGTCGACGTCCACAACTTCAACTTCAACTTCAACAACAACATCAACCTCCACAACTTCAACTTCGACGACAACAACCTCTTCGACTTCGACATCCACGACTACGTCTTCGACGTCCACAACCTCTACTTCAACAACAACTTCAACAACAACCTCTACAACGTCAACTACAACATCCACGACTTCGACTTCAACAACAACATCAACCTCTACAACATCAACTTCAACGACAACAACCTCAACTTCTACGACATCGACGTCCACAACCTCCACTTC